CTTTCAGTGCCAACATTCAAGGCTAATGCTGGAAGTAGTGTGTCCCTACAGTACAGGTTATCTGCACTCTTTTTCTAATCAAATATAATATGTTTGTAATATAATATCTAATAGGTGAGTGTGCACTAGGCAGCAAGAAATACCAGTATCGGCTTGGACCACCTATATTATATGACTTGGTTTGGGAAACAGGCTTAAAAAACTTGATTGGATGCCGTACAAAAGAAACCTTAAACTGTGTATTTGTTTCAATGCCACAATCTTTCTCTTGCCTTAACTTTGACATCAGTACAACCAGAAAGTGCCAATATGAATTGGCACTGACCGTAACCCAGGGTTTCAACAGAATCTCCCAATATGTTGTAACTTGAGCACATTGTTCTTAAAAAGGAACACACGTTGGTATGTGTGGGCTCCTTGAGATAAGATGTCTCAATTCAGTGTCCCCACTCACACTTACAGCCACACAAAGGGGCTGAAGTGAAATCCAAGTCAAGAGACAACCGTCCTGTACCACTTAGATCCTCACACACACACACACACACACACACACACACACACACACACACACACACACACACACACACACACACACACACACACACACACACACACACACACACACACACACACACACACACACACACACACACCGGCAGCAGCCTCAATGCTTTTGTCAGGCAATCTAATTAAGAAACCTTCAGGTGAAGTGCCATGCGTTCAAACCGGCTTAACCCCCGCCGCCCCATCCTGTCACAGAACCCTTTTCCATTGGGTCACTTTGTTTCATAATTCCATTTCCTGATTGGGAAGATAAAACCTCCTGGCCCGTCCTCTAAGCCAATCACAATGGGGCGCCACTCCTCACACTGACATTATGATTACTCTGTCCTTTGTGTTGTCGTTCTTAAGCACGTCCTTAAATCCACACACAATATGATAATCCATAATCCAAACACTTGAGACTTAATCCCCCAGATGCTTCAACCAATACAAGCTTTTCTGTTGCTAACCCTCCAGGTGATTGGTTGGTATTTTTGTTGAGGTGAAGGATGATTTAGGAGGGAAACTAAGTGCTGTTATGATGTATGGGAAAATATCAAACTTGGGAAATAAAGTGGGTAACAAAACAACAAAAGGTGAAAGCTTCAGTGGGAAGAAATCTGAGCCTCTCAATGTCTGAACATATTGATCGAGAGGCTTCCAGCACGGAGTCGACCTTGTGTCTGGACTGCGAGGACTTACATCTGAGGACTTTTGATGGACAACACATGCAGCAATCCCCATAAAGGGCCTATAAAATGCCTTTGTCGGAAACAAAACAGAAGCAAATTCTGGCAGCTTGACATGACAAAATGTGTCTTATTTTAGCTGCGCTTCAAATCTCTCAGTTCACAGTCAAACGGCGTCTGTGCTTTTCATCTGGCAAACACCAGAGGCAGAAACCCAGACAAACAGCCGACAACATGAAAAAGCACTTACAGGAGACGCACCCTCTTTTGGTTGCTTCCCCAAGCCTGAAGGCAACTTTTCTTCCCCCTCCAGTCTCCTTTGAGTATTAGAATAAAACGGGAGGGGAATAAGAATCAGTTGAACAAGACAAACTGAGCTCTGAGTCTGCGCCGCAAAGACAGAGAGAAGACGGAGATAAAGGAAAAGTGAAGATTGATGGGTGGCAACTTTGGAGACGCAGCTGAGAACGGGTTTGATTCGAGATTTGTACAAGTAATTGGCAGCAGATCTGAGAACATTTACTCCAGGACGCTTGAAAGTATTAAAAATCATTCCTACCATCTGTCTTGATGAGAAGATTTCAGTGAAGATTTTTCCAAGAAAGCAGATGAGATGGCGTCTCCATTTCCAAGGGGCAAATTGCAAAAGTAAAAGATAAGCAGCGAAAAATGTTCTCCTAGAATTTCTTGTACTTTTGGTACGTCCAAAATGTTCTCAATTTCCTTGCCTTTTAAACTTGTTGTTCCCATGCCAATACGCAATGTAGTACTGGTGATTAGTTGGACTGTCAATTGCTTTAGTCTAGAAATAAATATCTGAAGTTATATTAGATATGAGGCACAATGAAACCTAATGTTTGTTGGTCTTGATCCCCTTACCTTTCTAGTTTACCACTAACACTTTGGTGATTTTGGTGCTGAGTGAAATTCCTGGATAGCTATGAGATATTAATTTTACTGACTTTCGTCATCCTTTGAGTTTTTCAGTGGTGTTTTGAAATATCCATACAACAAATGGATGGATTTGGGACATTTGATACCGACCTTTTATCTACTGCTCGGTCAATTTCGTTATTTGCTCAAAACGTAGGAGGCGTGTTTTGAGAAATATGGTCAGCTTCATATGGCTGAGAGTTGCAGGTTTATTATCTGTCTCAGTATTCAGCACATCATAAGACACCTGAGCATTTGTCTAAATGTAAGGCAGAGAAAACTGAAAGACATTTGCTTAAAAGCCAGACAATGAGCTGGTTGAATACTCATCACAC